TCACGTATAAGTTAGTAATCGATTTAGAAATGGAATTTTAAACCAGGCTTATGAAAGTATAGTTTAGGATATACACAACTTTAGGGATTTTCAAGTTTTGCTTCCACTTGTATTATATCAGGGGCGGCCAAACTTCAGGACAGTAAGAGCCACATGAACATGAGTATTCATGAAATTTCGAGAGCCGCAACTAAATTTTGTGAGTCAGAATTTCCTATTTACATCCTATTACGTTTAAAAAAGCAGTGAAGCAGATCTTCATTAAAAGAAACTTTTAATGTAAATTAATGAGAATTTCGCATTTTCTATGCAATTAAAATGATATCGTATAAATATAAACAAAGATATTTTATTTTTCCTGCTATACGCAGGAAAATTTGTTTTACATATTTGAAACATTGTTATACATGAAAAGGCTGTGATCAAATATGAATAAGAAGTTTTACCTAGTCCATTGTAAAGTCTACACTTGAGTCCACCAGACTTCAAAACAGGTCTCTAATTTGAAAAAGGCCCCTTTTTAGACTATATGTTTCCTTCTTGAAAGAAATTTCTTCAGCGACTTTCAAAGACATCCAAAGAGTGAAAAAAAGAAGCAGTTCTATCTAAAGAATAGAAAATCTTCCAAAACACTAAATCGCGGTCATTAATTTAATGTTTTGAAAGAACTGCATGAAGAATCTGTCTGAAGTAAAATAAAACCTTAGAGGAAATGAAAAATAATGCATTATTTTTAAATCACGTTCAAATTTGCTCTTATGCAATCCCGATGGCCATTATCTGCTTTCAAATTGACATAGTCATATTGTAATTCTTAGAAACTGAATTATTTTCTATTTTGATCGCTACTGTTACGATTAGTGCACGATGAACAATTTGAAACCGATTAAATTATTGCACTCATAAAGTAATTTATGAAATTATATTACTAACTGGTAAAGAAGCGTGTCATTCATTGCACGATTTCTGTTTCAAAATGCAACTGTATTTAAAAAATAGAGCTAAGGAGCATTTAAAGAGTCAAAGGGCCTCCTTCGACTCGCGAGCGGCAGTTAAGGGGCAGTATGGCCATACCTGCAGTTTATAAAATGCTATTTATATATCGTATATATAGACAGCACTTTAAAAATATTTTGCAACTAAGTTTTCTGTTGAATGACCATTCGTGGAACCACAGATACAGTTTAAGAAACGAACCAAACGATGTAGGCTTTTGAAATAGTACAATTTTGGTCACGTAAGAACTTTAACTCACGTAAAAATTTGCGAAATATTTCCGTGTGGGCCGCGTAGGAAAAAGTGCAATATGAGAATGAGAGAACTTTGTTGTTAAAAAAAAAAAAAAAAAAAAAAAAGAAAGAAAGAAAAGAAAAGAAAAAAAGTCATTTTCCTTATGGTCGACATTGGTTGAGATTATCGATTTAAATATTACTGATTTCATATAAAGTGCTCAAGTGCTACTATACTTATACAGGATGTACCAGTACAGCGGTGACAAACTTTCAGGAGAGATAGAGTAATCCTAGACGATCGGAAATCACATAGGAATGCATGGTTGGAAACGCTCTCCTGGCGCGGGTAGTGACGACAAAAAAGAAAACGAAAAAAAAAAGAAAGGACACAAACAATGAGACAAAACACGTTTTATTAAGTTTAGTACAGCAGAAACCTACAAATAAGAACACAAACAAGCAACGATCGTCATTAAAGGTGTTCGAAATTACTCCCCCAACCCGTGATGGAACCCTCACTTCTCTGGCGCATGGAAGATCTGCATCAAGAATGGAGATGCATGGCGCGCAGTTGCTGCATCACGGTTCGGATCGTAATTTCGAACACCTTTTATGATGTTGATTGTTGTCCTTTATGTTGCTTTTCTTTGTTTTTGTTGCACTCCGAATAATAAACATGTTTTCTCACCCCGTTCGTGTCCTTTCTTTCTTGAATTTTGTGTCGTCGCTACCTCGCCAGGAAAGCGTTTCCGACCATGCATTTCGTGATTTCCCATTGTCTAGGTGTGCTCTATCTGTCCTGAAAGTTTGTCACCGCTGTACTAATACACCCTGTATGTTACTCACATTAAGTTTTTGAATGAAAAATTTTAAAAGATACCTTAAATATTCTAAAAGCATAATTTCAAACTACAGGAATTTGTAGAACTAAAAATTCGAAATTCTACTCTATTGAACTTGTCGCCTGAAATCGCCGCCATTTAGTCATAAAAAAGCCTTATAATTTCGCATATTACAGATTGGCATTCCTTCCCCGCGAAAAACAAAAAAGGGTCTATAACGGTTAGGTTAGGTTATTTAATTACGGCAAAGCCTCGAGGGCTATCTGCCTAAGGGGAGGGATGCCTTCGTGGAGGACCTTTCTGAGGGAAACTGGCTCGTATACACGTTACACATGGGGAAAACCACGAAAACACCCATGCAGCCAGCCCGTTCGCGGGATTGGAACCTCGGATCGACCTACCAGTGTTCAGCGACTTTACCGCTCGGCCGCTGGTGGGCCTTGAGGGTCTATAATGAGATAAGGAACAATTTATTAATTGAAACTTTTTAAAAATTTTATCCGGGTAGAGGGCCTGTGCAAAAATAACTTTCGTACACTTTTACTACAGAGTGTCAAACCTTTCTAGTTCAGACGCTTACCTTATTTGATTTGTTTTTCAAATTTGAACCTCTGCTTTTGAGTAATCGCTTAAGATAAGATATATGTCGGTATACAATCGAGCTTCGCTAAACTAGGGCCCACCAGCGGCCGAGCGGCAAAGTCGCTGAACACTGGAAGTTCGGTCCGGGGTTCGAATCCCGGCGAACGGGCGGGCTGCATGTGCGTTTTCGTAGTTTCCCACATGGTAACATATATAAAAACCAATTTCCCTTAGAAGGCATCTCTCCCTTTAGGCAGATAGCTCTGAAATGCTTTGCCATAACTAAATAAACCAAACTAAACCAATTGACAACCCAGAGCAAAAGAAAATGTCTAGTAATCAAATATTCGTCGCAGCAAGACCTTCGCGAAACTGCAGTTGAAAATTGCCTAGATTTCGAGCTGGATCGTAATTAAAAAGCTGAAATGAAATTTTTTGATTGCATATTTATATTAAAAATATTGCAAATAATTGGAGGAATTCGTGTGTTCCTATAAACATTAAACTCCATGGACTTATATGAAAGGGATAATGGAAACTATTAAAATGTTGCATGTGAGTGATATTTTTTTCCCACCTGCAGGAACATTGCACGAATACATGCTAATACTGTAACTGTAAGATTCGAAACTAGTACCGAACAGCTCGGCTTTGAAAGTCGGTAACCGGCTGGTGATAACAATTATTTACTTGCGTTACGTAGTCGCCCAGTCAGTATAGTGGTTAGTGACTCTGATTGCCGTAGCAATGGATGGATCCGGGTTCGAATCCCGAAAAAGGCATGGTTTTAACTGTTGAAGGCATGGCCACATATCAGTTGCTTCCATAATGAAATGGCCACCACTTCCCGCCACTTATAATGGCGCGGGGCTAGTGGCTATACAATAAAGCACCCGGGCAAAAAAAAAAAAAAAAAAAAAAAAAAAAAAAACGAGTGAGAGTTCTAGCTATATAAAATTATCGAGTTCACCTTGCATTCTCTCCTCTTGTTTATTTGAGAAAGATTTTGCATCCTCATTGCCAGTGTAAGGGCCTGCTCGGTTCTGTATATTTTAACGCCAAACCTCCTCTCTACATGCACAGGCGTCTCTTTCACCGAGTCAGATTTCTAATAGTTTCTGTTTAAGAATCTTTGAATGTCTTGATCTTAAAAATATGATCAAACTAACGATATTGATTTAGCTATGTAATTTGACAATATGTGTCCTTCACAGCGGGTATTAAATATGAAATTAAATGTCTGGTTACCCTAAATATAAAGATTATTTTTGATGCTATAGATCTTCAGAGAGCCCACAATTGTTTTAAGAAGTGCTGTTCATGCATATAAAATTATGGAGTAATCAGTTTATGTATAAAAGAAATTTAACGATGTTTAGCAGGAAGCAAAGAAGCAATTTTGAGTATGAAAAGAACCTTTTTTTGAAATATGTGAAGGCTATATTTTCGGATAGGAGGTAAATTTTTTCAGAGTATCTCGTCATTATAAATATTACGCGTGTAGATTTCTTTTGTCTTAAATATTTTCTGAAGATTATCAAAACTTCTTAAATTTTCCTAAACTAATGATAGTTTAATCCTCGTTTTCAACACCTCCTTTCCTGTCCAGATAAAAATAAAGGAAATGAAGACAAATGGTAAGCTCCTTCCTGAAGTTTTTAACCTCGATTAATATGTACGCTTTAAATTAAGCATAGTTTATAGATTACGGATTGTTTATTACAGTGTATCATTCTAATACAGGTATTTATCACATAATAAGTACTTTTTTCTGTTAGTTTTCATTTTCATGTAATTCTACACTGCTACCTAAAGTTTAAAAAGAAAACAAAATTGGTTGACCTCAAAGATTGAAAGTCTTTACCTCATTAAGGAGATAACCGTTTAAGAATTTATTTTTAAATGGGAAAAGTTACACCGTCTTATGTGGGACAAGTTAAAACTAAATAAATAATTTTGATTGAGTTTTAAATGTTATTAATTTTTTTATTAAAATTCAGATTAGATAGATCGTCATTATTTTTATTCTGCTAAGAGTTTCTTCCTTCATTACACACACACACACACACACACACACAAAAAAAAAAAAAAAAAAAAAAAAAAATTCTTGAGAGACAGTGTTCATAACCTTGGATTTAAGCTTCGTATTGTTTAGAGTAAATTTCAACACTGCTCTAAACAATTGTAACTATTGAGAACAAAGGCCTTTGTTATTTGTTTCATGTTTGTTGTTCAGCGATTCGAAATGATAACATAAATCTCTGACTTTAAGATAAACTGTAAACAATATGAACTGAAGAGGAGAGGAAATTCAATATATTACGTAACTGCATGATGTTACAAATCAGTTTCTTAAATTCTTTTTCTTTACTTTCAGATCCCTATTCAGCGTTACCTATCGGTTTGATGGTTTTCAGAACATTGTATTAGAAGTTTCCTGCGGCATAACATGCTATAAAAATGTTCAAAAGTTGGCTGAAGGTTTCATATTTTATTTATTTATTTAAAATTTTATTTTCTTTACTTTTTTATTTTCCTTATCAAAGAGGAAACTCTACTGTAAAAGCATGGAATTTTATTAACGATACAAATGCTTCTGCATCTACAATAAACTTTGAGTATATCCACAGCCTGAAAAATCTTAATTCCGATTCTTTCACAGAAAAAAGTGTAGAAATACTTTCCTATTGCGATACAAAATAGATAATAACAAGTTATACATTCATAAGCTTTTGTTTCCTTTCTGTAATTGGAATAAAAGTCGTAAGAAGCTTTCAACTAGCTTCTTGATTATTAAAAAAATATATTTTGCTGTATAAAGCGTTCTTCTATGACTTTTGAACTAATATTCACTATATAATATTTATTCTATTAATGCACTGAAATAATATTTATTGTATTAATGCACTGAATTACTGTGAATAAGTAGTGTCTATCAAGAGCCACATATTAATCTCCGAAATGAGAGGTGTGTAAAGAACCCAGATGTACTAAGCTAAATGTGACATCTTCTTAAGAAACCGTACTTAATAACTTCTTAATGAAGCCGTACTTAATAAATGTGCGCTTTCTCATGAAATATGAAAATCGGTACTATTCCGTTTTGAGGACCGTAAAAAAATTGCAGCGAAAATGTATGCCGCCAAAAGCGCCAAATCTAGCAAACGCCAAATCTAGCGTACGCCAAATCTAGCGTACGCGCCGATTTCAGATTGCTTAAGTTTATATAGTTCTATATTTCTTAAGACGCCATTGAAATATTAGTTTAATTTTTAAATCCTTTTTTGATTTTAAATCCTTTTTTGATATCATTTGGATTTAATAATTTGAGAATTGCCCATGACGAAAAGTCTGCAATACAATTTTGAGTAAAGTGCAGAATCACCCACTGCTTGACGCGTTTTTAAGAATTCCACATACTCGGTATCCATATACACATCACACATCGACCTATTTTCTCTTTAAAAAAAAAAAAAAACAGAATTGCACAAAAATGGCACTGCGCAAACACTTGACTTTATCTCTGTACACATCGACCTATTTTCACTTAAAAAGTAAAAGAAAATTGACAAAAATCCAATTGTTTTTACCCTTTTAAAAAGCGACAAACAAATAAGTGGGCGATTCTGCACTTTACCGAGATTTTTTTCAAAGAAAAGGCATCATTCATTATAGAAAATTATGTTTGAACAACCAACGAGATGAAATTATGCTTGAGCGATAACTCGGTAGCGAAATAGCGATGCAGGCATCCATTCAGTTATGCTTAGCAATTTTTATATAAATTATAATAATGATTTGAAATAGTTATTTACTCTTATGCTTCCATTCAGTCGTGTTTAGCCTTTTTTATATAAGTTATAATAATAAGAAAAGTATTATATGAAATTAACCTTTCATCTAAATTAAAACATCAATCTTAGATAATGCATTAGGGTTGCCGCAATTATTTTTGGCAGCACTGGCATCAACAATAGTTTGGCGATTTTTTACGGCCCTCAAAACCGAATAGTACCTGAAAATCTTTGAATCATGAAACATTCGAGTTTTCTGATCGAAGAAAATGGTGAAATGAAATTTTTTCTGAGGCTTTATTTTCATCTTAAAATCAAAAGAGTCATCCAAAATTAACGCAAAAACAGGAAGGGCTGATACGCATACTAAACTGATGGCCAGTCATATTATTTTTTTTTTATGTCAAAGGCATGGTGTCAAGTGTTACTGCTGAAAAGCAAGCAAATCGATAAAATATGTCTTCTCCTAATGTAACTGTGTCTCAAAAGATTGTCGGTATATTTCCAATAAGGATTTAAAAGTGAGTCGTATCAATAAACTTAGTCCAGGAAAATAATATTCTAAGTCCAGGAAAATATTTTTCTGCAGAGCTTGATAAGTCTACACACTGCATTAAGTAGAATTATAAGCATTTGGGTAGGTTTGTTTCTGTTTCTACCATGGAATTTTGTTTTAAATTTATTAAAGTATAAATTAAATGAGAATATTTTGTTCTAAAAGACACTTTTCGATTAGACAGCAGAACAGGAAATATTTGAAACTCTTTTTGCAGGTTTGTATCTCATAATGCACGTAGCATAGAATAAAGGAGGCTTTATAACTCAGCACAGAATGGAAAGCATAGAATATTTGCAAAAATAGTGTGCATTCCCAAATGAACATATTTATTTCACAAACAGTTCGAGCCCTGTAATCTTCAAAGGTAGTTTTTAGTTCTCAAGAAATGTGGAAATGACATGAAAATAGTACTAATAATGACCATTAATTTTATATAATCATAAGCTGGCAAATTCAGCTTGTTTGCAATTTTGATAAAAACAGATAGGAAACATAAATTTATTCAGAGGAGACATAATTGAGAATTGTCAGAGGAGACATAACACGTCGAGGTAAGGAAACTTATTTATTTGCATGCATGAGAATTGAAGGGAAAAAACTCGTTTTTCCGTGCGGCAGTTAGTATGTAAGTTAAGCATCTATTTATATAGATACGATTGTAAAGGAAGTATTTTGGGGAAACTTATCCCAAAAAACTAATGTTCTATTCTCCAACAGGACTCGATTCTTAAACTTATTAGCTACAGGATCTAAATTTCTTTTGCACAGCATATCGGATGTCTTTTCACTCTGTAGGGTTATACTGTATTTAGAAGCTTGTATTAAAATCATGAAGACCCTACTAGACTGATAGCGAGCTACTGTTTCACCTGAAATCATTCACAGTCTAAAGAAGTTTAAAATAAGATTTTTATTTAAGTCTCGACTGAACAGAAAGGCACAGCTTGTGACAGATGAACTGCCGATCCCTACGTGTATTTGAATTAACATAACAGAAGGTTAAATTTCAAATGTAGGAACGTAGTCTGAGACTATATATCAATTAAGCTACTCAAGCTGGCTCAGATATTTAACGGTGAATATTTTAAAACGTCGGCGCTAGCAATGCAAGTTAGGCAGGATGTCGATAGTAGCAGCAAGATGCGGCTGCCAAAGCTGTAATTTAAACATTCAAAACCCCCAGCTTAAATGCACTAAACAACTCATTTGCATTCTGGTGTACAGAAAGAAGAACTTATAGTAAAGTTTTAAATCATAGTAATTGGTTAATTAACATAAAAACCGTACTACTCTTTACACCGTGTCCATTTTATTATCTTTATACACCGTGTGCGTAAAAGTCCTCATGCGGCTTTTATTTTCGAAATTGTTCGTCGTAGACATATAGAAGTACAGGTAGAAGTTAGACCAGCACTTCTGTAGTACCACAGATAATTGACGTATTGCTGAACCTAGCTAATTGTTAAGCTTCCGCCCTAATTTTGAGGAAGAATACTCTGCGGGATGGTCCAAAGGTCTCCCATCCCTCTTCTACCAAAACCTCTGTAGAGGACTTTCAAGTTTGCTGTGTATTTTGAATGCCCTCGTGCCTCACGGACACTATACGCGTGCAAACATCCATGCCTTTTCCGAGACTTGAATATGCGCCTATCGGTACCCCAATCAGTGTCATTAACCTCTGTGCCAGCCGTAGACATATAGCGTAAACCTTTGCAGAACGGGAACTTGCGGTACGTGATTTTGCGTACAGGTATTATTTTAATTGTCTCTATTTAATTTATCCAACGCGAGAAATACAGCTATATTCAGTATTCTGCACAGCACTGGCAGCATTGCGGTAATCCGCTTTAATCACTGCTTTGAAAAAGCGCAAAACCTGAGCTTTAAAGTTCTCCTAATTCTCGATAATGCTCCAGCCCTCATAACATTGCATCTAGATGTAGAGGTTTCGACTTCTTCTACCGAACACCAGTTCCTTGATCTAAACAATGGATCAAGCAATTATAAAAAACCTATTATATTAGATATGTTTGCATCTCTGCAAATAAAGCACGAGAAAAAAGCACGACACGTTAATTGCATTTAGGAAACAATTCAACATAAGATCCTGCATAGAAATACTTAAAATCTTATGTGAATAAGTGAATTCATCAACAATGAATACTTGCTGGCATCAGCGCTGGTCAGAAGTTGTCAACAATTTGAAAGGATCTCCATCGATTGAAAAGGAAGACAAAGAAATCGTACAAATTGAAAAGCAATAAGACAGCGAAGGATTTTGAGATACGGAAGAAGGAGAAATTAAAGAAATAGTCGAGATTGACGATCGTCAAATGAAGAATAAGATGATCTTATAGCACCAGCCGAATGTGAAAGCAGCGATAATGAATAGGATCGAGAACCTTTAACGTATTAAAATTAAACGAATTGTTAAAAATTGAGCTAAATGAAGAAAGAAGAGGATAGTTTATGAGGAGTTTTGAAAAACTTTGCATTCCTTACCGCGAAACGTTTAATGAGTTGCATCAGACGTTTCCCCAAGCAATAATCTCCAGTTATTTAAAAAAAAAATAGTTGTATCATGTACCTAGACAAAGTGATCATAGAAATTCTTTCAATTAACATTTGTTTCACTTGGCTCGTTTCCCTCCTTTAATTACAATACCATTTAGGCTTGTGTAAATTATACATACTTTTTAAATACGAACTATACCGGGCCCGCTTTTTTTTTAATAGAAAATAAATTTTGTGGAACGGGATTTTGCCCTACGCGCAATGTATAAATGACGTAATCCTCCCTGGCGTTCGGGAAGAGTTAACTGTACTTCCAAATACAGAATGCTTTAAATCTCTTTTTACAAAAACTGTAATCTATAAAAATTACCAAATATATCATTTAAACAACCCTCCGGTCCCTCTCTGCAATGTTTAGTAAAAGTTTATATTTTATCTGAAAGTTAAACTACAAAACACTTCATTCTCTACAACAAAAAAATGACTCAGATATTTAAAATTTCAGATCGTATTCGGGAGTCTTTCGTAAAATGAAAAGCAAAATATTTGCGTATTTACAAAACTAAAAATTAAATATCAGTTTAAGAAAAGGTTTCTGATATTAATAGATTAAG